CCAAGCAAGGAAAGACACATCCGTACAGACATACGAAGCATGCAGAGCATCAAATTGACAAGACCGGAAAAGAAAATCCATATCATAGTTAAAACACTAAGTATATGTAACAAAGAAAGCATTTTGAAAGTCATAAGAGAAAAATCCAAGTTACAAATAAAGAAAACCACATCAGAAAATGGCTGATTTCTCAATAAAACTTTGAATAACAGAACATGAAGCAATGCATTCCAAGTTCTGAAAGACCTAAAATAGTATACCCAGAAAAACTATCTGCCATGATTAAAGGAGAAAAATTCACAACATAAACAGCCTAAAAAATATATCTCCAATACACCAAACCTAAGGAAAATACAGGAACATTATTTCAGGTTGAAGAGTGGTATGAGCATACCAGAGAGCCCATGAAAAGAAGTATGATGTCATAATTATTAAAAGACAAATACACTGAGAATACAACAATGCCAAAAATTAGCCATACGGTGGCCACAATTAGCATACATATTTCAATAATAACTTTAAATATCAATGGCCTCAATTCTTCAATCAAAGGTAGACTAGCTGAATAGAATACACCTATCTGTTGTCTGTAAGGAACACATCTTATCTTTCCACATAGGTACGGTTTTAGAGTAAAAGGATGGACGAAAATACTCCAGCCATATGGGACCAGGAAGCAAGCCGTTGTCACTGTTCTAACATCTAGTAAAATGGACTTCAAAATAAAATCAGTCAGAAGAGAAAAAGAAGGATGCCTAATTCTACTCAAAGGAATAGTCAATTAAGAAGATATTACTACCCTAAAAATACTTGCACCAAACTCTGGGCACCCAAATTCATAAAAAAAATGTCTACTACTGAAAGACACAGATTAACAATCAATTAATAGTGTGCTAGCCCATTACCCCACTTCCTTCAATAGACAGATCATATGAACAAGAATAGAGAAATATCAGAATTAATTGATATCACACATCAAATGGACTTAACAGTTATCTACAGAATATTCCAGCTAAACAACAAAGAATACAGATTATACTCATCAGCACGTGGAAGCTCTTCTAAAATAAGCCACATACTGGGGCAAAACCAAATATTTACAAATTAAAAAATATTTAAATAATTCCTTGTATCCTATCTGACCACAAGGTAATAAAACATAAAATTGACAGCAAACAAATCTCTAGTAAATACAAAACTCATGGAGATTAAACAATTCATTACTGAATAATGGATGAGTCAGAGAAAAAAATCAAAAAAGAAATAAAAAACTCTTGGAACTAAATGAAAATAAAAATATAACACAACAAAACCTCTGGGACACATAGAAAGCAGTCCTATGAGGGGAATTTATGGCTCTGAATCATAAAGAGCACAAATAAATGACTTAATGATGAAGCTCAAAAAGTTGGAAAAATAAGAACAAACCCAGTCAATGGCAAGAAATAATAAAAGTCAGAGCAGAAATCAATGAGATAGAAACAGAAAAAGCAGTGCATAAAACCAATGGGTCCAGTGCTAGCTCTGTGAGAAGATGAGCAAGATTAGCAGACTGTGCAACTATCCAAAAGAAAGAAAAGGATCCAAACTAAGAGACCCAGAAACTTATAGGGAAACTTTACAGCAGACACTGAAGAAATTCAGAATATAGTAAGATAGTACTTTAAAAACCTGTATTCTGTTAAGCTGGAAAACCACAAAGGAATGAATGAATTTCTAGATTCAGTCAAACCACCAAAATTCAATCAAGAAGAAATAAAGAACCTAAACAGTCCCATAACAAACGAGGAGACTGAAACAGTCGTAAAAAGCTTTACAGCTAAGAAAAAAAGAAGATAGGGTCAGAGGATTCACAGAAGAATTGTACCAGACATTCAAAGATCTACAGTCAGTCATTTTAAATTCATTTTTAAAAAGTTAGAAACAAAAGGACTCTCCCACACTCCTTTTACGTAGCCAGTATCATAGTAATACCCAAATCAGGTAAAGACACAACAATAGAAAAGAAAACTACAGAGCAATATTCCTGATGAACATAGACTCAAAATGTTCAATAAAATATTTACAAATAGAATATACATATATATCAAAAAGATTATGCCCCATGAACAGGTTGGCTGTGTACTTATATGTAGGGATGATTCAGCAAACATAAGTCAATAAATGGTAATATATCACATAAATGGACTTAAAGATAAAAATCACACGATCATTTAAAAAAATACCTTTGATAAAAATCCAAGATGCCTTCATGATAAAAGTTCTAGACAGAGTAGGTCTGGAGGAAACGTATGTTTCTCAACATAAGAAAAGCTATATATGAGAAACCCTCAGCCATCATCATCCTAAAAACAGCTTGATGCAATCCCACTGAATTCAGGAATAAGACAAGGATTTTCAGCATCCCCACTCCTTTTCAATCTTGTGCTCAAGTGCTAGTTGAGGCAACAAGGCAAGAAAAAATTCAAAGGATACAAATAGGGAAAGAAGATGGCAAGATACTATACAGTAGAGATTCTAAACATTCCACCAGAAAACATCTAGAAGCAATAAACAAATCCAGCAATGTGGCAGGATACAGAATCAACTTGTACAAATAAATAGCTTTTCTACACACCACAAATAAACATACAGAGAAAGAGATTATGGACACAATTCCATTCACGGTAGCCTCAAAGAAAAGAAAGCTTCTAAGAAATGAACTTAACCAAGGAGGCATGTTGTCAGAGTTTCCTGTCCTACCAAGTCCTTGTTCTACCTGGCTTTTGTACTCCCACCAGGTCCTACAGCCATTTAATCCCAAAAAAAATCACACTGAGGTCTATATTAATGATAAACGGATTGGACCATTAACTCAGGCTTCTTATTAACTCTTATAACTTATATTAACCCATTATTCTTATCTATGTTAGCTACATGGCTTTGTACCTTTTTCAGTGGCATAGTCACATCTTGCTTCTTCACTGTCTAGACAGGACTGCAGAGGGAGATTCCCTCTTCCCAGAATTCTCCTCTTCTGATTGACCCGCCTCTACTTCCTGTCTGGTTGTCCCATCTATACTTCCTGCCTGGCTACTGGCCAGTCAGTATTTATTTAAAACATAATCGACAGAATATAGACAATTATCTCATGCCACTATAGATATTGTATTCCGTCTAGATAGGTAATCTTCAACCACTTCAAGGATCTGTGGAACATGGCATTTAAATAACTTAGGGTTCTGTTGACATGAGACATGACTGCTTCTGACAGCACTAATCTATTCCTGAGAGAATGTTGAGCACCAAAGACACTCCACTTGGAGCTTGTTTTCTTCTTGGCAAAATTGGCCTTTGGGCAAGGAACTGACAATGCTTCAATCACTGACAAGTTACATGATATCCAAAAATACATAAGCAGGACCAAATCTTGCCAAGACAGGATAAAATGGTTTTGAAAAATTTCCTGCCTCTGAAAATGGTCTGTAAATTATTCTAGGCCATAGCCAAAGTTGGTTGCTTCAACATTGCAAAATGAGACTTTTAAAGTAATTATAGATAAGAAGGAGCTTACTTCTGTACTTTCCCCATGCGTGGTTTAGATTTTTCCCTCCTTTCTTGCATATGTTCTTCCTTTGTCGTTAGTCAATTCTTGTAATAAAATGGTTCAAAGTATTTCCTTTTTCTTTTGTGTATATTTTATAGATACTGTCTTTGTAGAGATTACATTTAACCTTTTAAAGTTGAAACACTTGAATTTTCTTTATACTAGATTAACTTCAATACCACACAAAACTCTGCTTTTTCTATCACTGCTACCTCTACCTTTTTCAGCTTACATTTTTATTATTTTGAGGAAGAATATCCATGCCACAATGGACATGTAGAGATCCGAGGACAGCTTTGTGGAATTTGTTCCCTCCTCCCACCTTTCCGTGGGTTCCTGAGATTGAACTCAGGTTGTCAAGCTTGGGCAGCCCACTAACCTTTTTTCAGTTATTAAAACTGAAAGTTACAATTTTGTGAATATAGTGTGTTCATCAAAGTATAAGACAATAATAATTTTAAAATTCACTTGCTTCTTAAAGTATGTATGAAAATGTAGAGTTGCAAATCCAAGGTACAACATTAATTCTTTGACACTAATAATTTTTTAATAATGTATTTGTCTCTTAAAATTAGTTACTGAGGGCCTGGAGAAATGGCTCTTCCAGAGGACTTAGATTCAACTCCCAGCGCCTACATGATGGTGCACAACCATCCGTAACTGCAGTCCCTAGGAATCTGACACCCTCCTCTGGCCTCCATGGCACTGTGTGCATGCAGGGAAAACACCCATACACATAAAAATAAAGCCTCAAAAATTATAGCGTTCTATTGGTGTAATTGCTCATACATTTGCCTTTATTAAGACCTTTATCCTCACGTGACTTTAAGTCACTGGAAAGTGGGCTCCCTCTAGCATTTCTTAGAGGACAGGACTAGAGGTAATGACCCTTGGCCTATCTGGGAAGCCTCAATTTCCCCATCACGACTCACGTGTGTGTACTAGATGCAGGATTCTCTGTTGACAGAGAGGGACCCTTTCTTTTAATCTCTTTAGTCTGTCAGCCACTGAGAGTATCCTGGGTCGTGAGCCACTTTTCTTCTGCTGCCTCTGGGATTCAGCCTGGTTTTGGCTTTTGATATTTACTGCATCATGGATGCGTGAGGCTATTTTAGCTCATCTCGGGAGCCTATTGAGCACAGATGTTTATATATCTTTTATCAATTTTAGAATCTCTTTTTTTGTCATATTTCTTTAAATATTCTCCCTGATTCTCTTCTTGTCCTGAGAGTTCTTCAGGCACATGTTGGTCTGCTTGACAAAGCCCCATACATCCTGTGGTCTCCATTTTTATTTTAACTTTGTGTGGAAATAAGATCTTATCACCCAGGCTGTTCTGAAACTCGGAATTCTAAGGTCAAAGCATGAATGGAAAATGTTTGGTGGTAATGTAGGGCTCCCCTTTGTGTTACAGCTCGCCACTGCCACCTTGGATGGGAAACTTCAGCTCTTTGTGGCTGAGTGACTGCTGGCCTGGTGATAAGACTGCAGGACGAAATGAAAGAATTCATGACTTGCCATTGAGGCCGATGGGGCAGTTTTTGTAGGGGGCCCTTGCTGGATTCCCCTTCTGCAGGACTCACCCTCCTCTGAGCTTCCCTTCTCCTAGAAACCATAGCCCATCTGTGCAGTTATTCTTCAATAAAGATGAGTCGGTGTCTGTTTCTTGTTGGTACCCTTGAGAGAAGGAAGGGTGGGGGCCTGAAGCAGCACTGGACTCTACAGAAGCCGGGTCATCTTATTCTGCACTCTGCAGTTTCTCGCTTCATGCATGCTACCATGGCAGCTGCACTGGAGGGTGCAAGGTGACAAGGATGCCATGGCCTGATACTGTCCACCTTGATGTCCCTCTTTGGTTTCTTTAGGACGAACAAGGCCAAGGGCACAGAAGATGGACACCATACTCAGTTTGGTCTTCTCAATCTCTAACAAGAGGTTCTTATGATTCCCTTTGGTATTTGAAAGATAAAATGATTCATGTTCTGGGGAATATGTCATGGGTTTGCTCAACATTGGCACATCCATGTGTTTGAAGACATCAAAGCAAGAATGTGGTCGTGGTCCCAAGCCTGGCCACAGAGGGATTTGGCCCAAGCCTTCTGGAATAAGTAATTTTTTGTTCATTTTCCCCATTCCCTTGCAAGGCTTTCTTTGCAGATGTGGGCCCCATTCTTGTCTCCAGCTTAAAGAGACTGCTCTGCATTCCAGGCCTGTCTGGGAGGAAGCTGGCCTTTCCTGTCTAGTGTGAACGTTCTCTGTGCTGTGCATACACCAGGTGGCTAGTGGGGAAAAGACGAAGTGCGTACAGGTACAGGTGTCTGTGGGTCTCAGGGCCATGCAGGCCACAGGCGACAGCCCCTCAGAAGCTCACTGTCAGTATTACAGCAAAACCGAACTGTTAGCGTGTTGGTTGCTTGACCACATTTTAACCACAGAAATTTCTCGCTTAAAGGAGTGAGCATAAAACTATGTCTTCATTGCCCTGTTCTTTTCTCTCTCATGTCTTTTATTCCTGTTTTTATTGCCGATCAAAGTTTGCTCATATTCTAATTAGGGTCAACTTTGATTTGTTTCTTCTGTGTAAGTTCCCCTGTTATCCCTGAGTTTGCTGGGGCATAGCTCCATGGTGCCTTGCACGCTGAGTTCATGACATTTGCTGGCACCGAAGAGGTTGAGAATGCTCCACATACATGGGGAATTTTCTTTTTGGTAAAAAAATTTTCCCAGATGAGTAGGTGACCATTTATGGTAGCTGTTGGGGCTCTTAGTCCCTTGGTGCCTGAGGCCTCAAGTCATCTCCCACTTACTGATGCCCGAGTCTTACTAATCTACTTACTGCCCGCGCTTGAACTCGTAAACAGTGTGTTTAAAAAAAAAATGAGAGTTGAGTGCCCCTTTCTCCTTTCATCATGACATCATAGATTCCAGAAAGACAAGAGCTGAATGGACATAGCACAGGTAGCTCGGAAGAGAAGTGATACAAATTTGTCTAACTGCTGAAGGGGGTGTCTGCAGTGTTTGGAGTGGTCAGGACACTGAAGGTGGGTAGAAAGGATGGTCACTCACGTGGGACAAGCAAAGCAAGATGATGATGAAGACGGGGACAGGACGGCTGTACCTGGGCCTCGACCAGGGAGTCTGGGGAGGGGGAGCCATCTTGCCCTGATTATTTTATGACTCTTGACACTGATTTATATAACAGTTACATTCATAGAAATGTTATATTCTCCCTGTGAATCTTGGAAAAGAGGATCAGCTTATCTGTTTCTAAACATGAGCTGCGGGAGTCTGACATTCCCTGTGCTGGAGCTGTGGAGCCCCCTAGACAGTCCCACCCAGGTAGGCACCAGTTAGTGCACAGTTTATAGAGGGCTGGGGCAGAAAACATCTTCCTGAAGAGGGCAAGCAGCTCTTTTGTCCTTTACGTGGTCTGTCAGGTGGGGTCAAAGATGACAAGCCACAACCCAAGAGTCTCCACATGGGACTGTAGTGTCCCACAGGGAGCGGCCTCGGTTCCTACAGCACTTGGACCACTGAAGTCACAAGGCCTGTTGCTCTTTGAATTACGACAGAAGCTGTTTACAAGAGGAATTTCAGGTTGAGGTGCCATGTGCTAGCAACGCAGCAACTGGGACTCCACTCCTCCAACAGACCACTGTGCCTAAGACTGTGCCCTCCCCAGCCTTTGTGAGGACTGGGTTTCCTGGGGGACCACCACTCAGGCTGATGTCAAGGACTACTGCTCTGGTTTTGCTCCAAGAGTACAGAAGAGAAGACGCTGGTGAGTGTAAAGTCTGGAAGAAAGGCGTCAGGAGGAAATGAAACGCATTGATGCAAATTTAAATGGCTGAGTTGGTTTATCCCCCAGACACTCAGACACCATTTCACCTTTGAATTAGTAATGGCCACCGATTTCTCACTCTACTTTGTTCAAATATCATTGTAGTTTTATGAGATAATCTTGTGGTTTGAATCTGAAGTAGCCCCACAAGATAATGTTTTGAATACTTGCTCCCAGGTGTAGGCACTATTTGGAAGGCATGTCCACTCAGTGGGCTGCATTTCAGAAAATAGTGCTTTTTGTAGCCTTTTTCTTTCGCCTCAGCAATCTCAAATGTGAGCTTGCTCGGGAATTCCCTGGAGTGTGTCCAGAAACTTTGTATACATTATCCTTCCTGTGAGGCAACGAGTCTGACTGGAAACAGGAGAGAAAACAAGAGGCTTTTCTAGAATGGATGAGTGAACTTCAGAGTGTCGTAAACTGTAGAAGCCGGTCGCCATCTGTCCGGTCTGTGGTCTGTGCAGGACGTGTCTTTTGTGTCCGTGGCACTGTATGGGGGGTTGCCTGCACCAAACACTCAGCACAAACTGCCTTGTAACCAACTATCTTACAAGTTGAAGCCTTTGAAACGATACAAGCTTTAAAGGCAAACTACTCTACTGGTCAACCAAAAGTCTACAGCCTATGCCTTCACTCCTGCCCTCTGAAGCTAAGGTGGGCTATAAAACCATATGTTAATAGGAACAGTAGATGTTTGGGGGAATGGACATGAGCTTACCTGATGGTCTATTGTTCTATTCCCTCTGAAAGAGGGCCTTATATGCTGGCCCACTCTAGATAAGTTCTCCATGAATTGCTTCTGGGGAAATCTTTCATGTCTAGTTATGTTCTGGCTTCTCTCTTACTACCTTGCAAGCTGTGAGCCCAGCTGAGCTTGTATGTTGGCCCAGGCTTACGTTGCTCTCTCCTCAGTGACTACAGTACAATCTGTGGGGCAGTTTGTAACAGGCACCCAGGAATGCCCTCAAGGACACTGTGCCAGTAAGGCCAACATTGGTGCTCATCCCCTCTTTCCCACAGTATCCCAGTGCCAGACTCTTGTGACAGTTCAGGTGAATACTCTATGCTAGGCGCATCACCTGTCCCAACCAAAGCTGTGCCACAGAACCTCCAGGGCACTTGGCACGGTTCCTCCTTGCCTTCCTGAGGTGAACAGCCCAAGTTTTAGTCTGTGTCACCCTCTACAGGATTCCCAGTCTGTCACCTAAACCATTTCATATGAATTGGCTCACAAGTATGTGTGTGTGTGTGTGTGTGTGTGTGTGTGTGTGTACGTATTTATTTATTTATTTGGTTTTCAAGACAGGGCTTCTCTGTCTAACAGCCCTGGCTTTCCTGGAACTCACTCTATAGACCAGGCTGGCCTCGAACTCACAGAGATCCGCCTGCCTTTACCTCCGGAGTGCTGGGATTAAAGGTGTGTGCCAGCACTGCCCAGCTGGCTCACATTTTAAGAGCACAGTCCCTACAGTGGCACATGCCACCCAGTCTCTGCTGTAAGCACACATGACCGTTTCATTGCAGTGACTCAGGAGGTTATGGTGTGCTGTGAGGTTTTAATGCCTGCAAATATTGATAACAGTAACATTTTTAATTTTGAAACCCACTCCTAATCTTTCATGTTATAATTATGATTGATACTATCTGAATGGTGCTGTCTGTGTATGACCTGAACACCAGAGTTGTTTGTTCATTACCATCAAACCAATCCCTGGACACTCTTGCTTCTTCCCACTGAACTGTCTGCCAGGTAAAAGCTTCAGCCATGATTCCATATTCAGAAAATATTGTTTAGTGTGAATATATAAAAGTAACTAATATTTGAATTAATATTTTGTAATTTTTACTATGAAACATAGTAGCAAAGGCTTTATTTAATGTTGATTTTTTGTATCAGGTACTCCAAAGTAGAGTTTCCCTGTGATATTTCCATCTACCCTTCTCCACTTCTTTTCTTGGTCTCTTTAATTAGCTACTTGTCTAATTTTAGTGGAATTTTATATTGAACTATTGTTGTCTTTGAAGATATTTAAAATCTGAGACAAAAAGATAAAGCGTTTTGTTTAAAAAGTATTATAGTAACTTATATAATCAAAACTACTTTATCAGAATTTGCTTATGGCTATATAAGTGTGTGTGTGTGCATTCATGTGTTTGAACCTGGGTGTGTTGGTGCCACAGTGAGTGTGAATATCAGATGAAAACCTTGAGTGTCAGTCTTTACCTTATACTTTGTTGAAAATAGGGTCTCTGTGGTATTTTTCTACTCTATACACCACACTAGCTCACCCAGGAGATTACAGAATTAACAAATGAATTTAAAATGCCAGTCCTGAGGTTACGCGTTTCATAGCCAAAGCTATGAGGCCTCGCACATTTGTGAACTCACTTCTGTGTTTGGGTTAGGATAGAGAGGGATTTAGAACATGTCCTTTGTGTGACATGTTAAAGATGTGCATACAAAACAAGACACATTCAGTCCTCAAAATTTTCAGTCTGTGCCAGAGGATGCCACCATCCAAGCAGACTATCTAGTCTGTGACAGAAGACACCTCCACTCCAGCAGGCTGAGCAGTGAACACACTCCAGCAAGAAATACCATTTTACTGGTGTATTTAAGGGTTGTGTTTGTTAGTTTTTGTTAACAGAAACCTAGAAAGGGAACCTCCACTGAGGAATACCTCTCTCAGATTGTCATGTGGGCAAGTCTGAGGAACGTTTTTGTGAATGATTGATGTGGGAGGGACCACTGTGGCCAGGGCTACTCCTGGGCAGGTGGGCTGAGCAAGAAAGAAAGCTGAGCAAGCCTTGAGCAGCAAGCGAG